TTACACTACCACCCCGGGGTAAATTTACTCAAGCCCTTGAGTTATTCAAGTTTTAATTAACCCTGGGGTTAGTTACACTGCAGCCCTGGAATTAAATTACACTACAGCACTGGGGTTAAATTACACTACCGCCCTGGGGTTAAGTTGCACTTGGCTCGGCGCCCTGGGGTTAAGTTGCACTACCGCCATGGGGTTAAGTTGCACTACCGCCCTGGGGTTAAATTATACTACAGCCCTCTCACTCCCTCACTCTTGTCGGCTCTGCCTGTCCGGACTCCGCTCTATCTCGCCACAGCCTCGGTCGCAGCCTCAGCCCCTTCGGTCCCACACGTCAACACGCTCGTTCTCGATGGTGGTCCTGGCTTGCGGCTCCCAGCGATCGCGGCTCCCTGGTGGTCCCGCGGCTCCCCTCGAGGTCCCGGCTCCCAGTTGCCTTGGCTCGGCGCGCCTCGTGCGTGTGCCTCCCTCACACTTCTGGCTTCCGCTGTCAGCATGCGATACTGATTCCGTCACAGAGGACATTGATTCTGTCCCTTCAAGTATCTTGGATTGATTGGAAACAAGGTTTTTCTTCCTCTGGAAAGAATTCACAGGATGCGGATACAGTTTTGTGCATTGCCTTTCGTGCAATGGGCATCGCTTCTGAATCTAATGGTTGCCTCCTTCGCGGCAGTTCCACATGTGCAACACCATAATTGGATTCTGCAGAGAGAAATTCTTCAGCAATGGGACAAGTCAGCATCATTGCTGGGTGGGTGAGCTGGATGGTCAAAGCCTCCTTGACTTGGTGACCACCTTCCCCTGAGCTGATGAAAGGGAGGTCTTTCCTTCCAATTTGCTGGAAAACTGTGACAACGGATGCCAGTCTCTCTGGCAGTTGTCAGCACAGGAGGCCAAGTTACCAATCGCTATGGGGGCACCCTGTCAGGATTCAGTCACACAATGCCACTGCAGTAGCATATGTCAATCATCAGTGTAGTGCAAGGGGCCTAGCGGCAGCTCACCTCATTTCCTTTGTTGGGTGGAAAGATGTGAAACAGCCCTGTCTGTTGTCTACATTCCAGGGGCAGACAATTGTCAAAGATTGGATCAAGTAGAATGGGCTCTACATCCCAAATTTTTTCTTATAAAGATTTGTTAGAAATGGGGAACACCAGATGTGGCTCTTTTGGCCTCCCAAATGAATCGGAGAGGGCAGAACTTTGTGTCCAGGAAGAGGGATCCCTGCACAGATGCGGCATATTCTTTGGTGGCACAGGTACAATCTCATTTATGCATTTCCTCCTCTAAAACTTCTGCCATGACTTCTACATCTGGTGGAACTCTAAGGAATAACAGTAATTCTGTGGCTTCCAATTGGCCATGACACCCTTGGTACGCAGAGATGGTGAGGGTGGTTGCAGACGTGACCTACTCTTCATCCAGACCTTTTGTCTCAAGATCCAATCTTTTATCCTGCTTTACAGTCTCTGGCTTTAACTTGTATGCTATTGAAAGCCAGTGCTGAGAGATAGGGGTTATCTATATCTGTGATTCCTACGATGCTTAAAGCACATAAGTCTACCTCTCAGAAAATATATCATAGAACCTTAAAAGCTTTAACTTCTTGGTGTGAAGGGCTTTGTGTTTCTCCTCCATGCTTTTTTAGTGGCTTAGATTTTAGCCTTTCTTCAGCGGGGTGTAGATCAAAAGTTGTCATTAAGTACTATTGAAGGTAAAGTTTTGGCATTAATAATATTTTTTTTCCACCGTCCATTAGCCTCAAATTCCTTGGTTTCTGCCTTTTTATTAATGTGTTTTACATGCTTCCCTTTTAATCAAGTCTCCTTTGCTTCCCTGGAACTTAAATTTGGTTCTCAAGGTCTTACAAAAGCCTCCCTTTGTGAATTTTTTTATTAACCTTTGTAACAAAAGGTGGCCATTTTGATTGCCATTGTGTTGGCACGGAGACTTTCGGAATTAGCTGCCTTATAACCATAAGGCAGCTAATTTTTTGATTTTACATAAAGTGTAAAAGTCTAGGTCAGGGGTGGCAAACACAAGGCCCCCGGGCCTAATCCGGCCCGCGGGACCTTGTAATGTGGCCCGCACAGCGCAGGGGTGGGCAGAACTTTGTGTCCAGGAAGAGGGATCCCTGCACAGATGCGGCATATTCTTTGGTGGCACAGGTACAATCTCATTTATGCATTTCCTCCTCTAAAACTTCTGCCATGACTTCTACATCTGGTGGAACTCTAAGGAATAACAGTAATTCTGTGGCTTCCAATTGGCCATGACACCCTTGGTACGCAGAGATGGTGAGGGTGGTTGCAGACGTGACCTACTCTTCATCCAGACCTTTTGTCTCAAGATCCAATCTTTTATCCTGCTTTACAGTCTCTGGCTTTAACTTGTATGCTATTGAAAGCCAGTGCTGAGAGATAGGGGTTATCTATATCTGTGATTCCTACGATGCTTAAAGCACATAAGTCTACCTCTCAGAAAATATATCATAGAACCTTAAAAGCTTTAACTTCTTGGTGTGAAGGGCTTTGTGTTTCTCCTCCATGCTTTTTTAGTGGCTTAGATTTTAGCCTTTCTTCAGCGGGGTGTAGATCAAAAGTTGTCATTAAGTACTATTGAAGGTAAAGTTTTGGCATTAATAATATTTTTTTTCCACCGTCCATTAGCCTCAAATTCCTTGGTTTCTGCCTTTTTATTAATGTGTTTTACATGCTTCCCTTTTAATCAAGTCTCCTTTGCTTCCCTGGAACTTAAATTTGGTTCTCAAGGTCTTACAAAAGCCTCCCTTTGTGAATTTTTTTATTAACCTTTGTAACAAAAGGTGGCCATTTTGATTGCCATTGTGTTGGCACGGAGACTTTCGGAATTAGCTGCCTTATAACCATAAGGCAGCTAATTTTTTGATTTTACATAAAGTGTAAAAGTCTAGGTCAGGGGTGGCAAACACAAGGCCCCCGGGCCTAATCCGGCCCGCGGGACCTTGTAATGTGGCCCGCACAGCGCAGGGGTGTGGAATTCGTATCGCCCGACACCCGGGACATGTAGTTCTTTTGCACTGTTCTTTTTCAGTGCAAAGTGGCTTTTGCACTGTTTTAGCCCTACTACGGATAAGTAGCAGGGCTGGCTTCTTTGAGCGCCGAGAGCGGCGCTACGAGCGGGGGGGTGGGGCGTGGAGCGCCGAGAGCGAGGGGCGGCGACGGAGCGCTGAATGAGATGGGGACGGAGCAGAGGGCGTGACGGAGCGAGGGGCGTGGTGCTGTGACGAAGCGGGGGGCGGGGACGAAGCGTTGAATGAGATGGGGACGGAGCAGAGGGCGTGACGGAGCGAGGGGCGTGGAGCCGTGACGGAGCGAGGGGCTTGGAGCCGTGACGAAGCCGGACGGTGGAGCTGTGACAGCCTCCCCCAGCCTCTGTCCCCGGCGGCCGATGCTCGTTCCTATCATAGGAGTTCTAGCAACAGTGCTATGCTAGAACTCCTGTGTTGGAGGTGACAGGGTCAATAAAGAGTACCTGTCACCTCCAAATGCTATTACACAGGGGATTATTATTCCCTGTGTGATAGCAATACAATAAACAGTTGTTTTTTTTAAATAGTTAAAAAGAAAAAGTAAAAAATATTAATTAAAAATGCAACTAAATAAAAATGTAAAAAATAAAAAGGCGATTAAGTAAAAATAATAAAACAAATGAACATTTTTTACAAAGTAAATAAAAAAAAAAAATAAAACCAGCCCCACGCAAATAAACGCGCAGTTTATAAAACCAGTAGCAACTGAATGCAGAGGCAACTATTTATGATAATAAAGAGTAGATGCATAGTCCTATACAACCGGCCCTTTGAGGGTAACCATACTGCTGATGCGGCCCCCGATGAATTTGAGTTTGCCACCCCTGGTCTAGGTGGTTCTTTGTCCTAGACATTCTTTCCATCCTAAGGTAGTGTCTACCTTTCACCTTAATGAAGATATTATTCTTCCTTCACTTTGTTCTCTCCCAACACATCCTAACAAATAGTGCTTCACTGTCTGGACAGTTAGGGTGGTGCGAGTTTGTCTACTACTGAACCTTTCCGTAAGACAATTAATTTTTTTGTGTGTGATTACTGCCAGCTCTACGGCTACCATTTCTCATTGGGTCAGAAAATGATCGTCCAGTCTTTTGGATTTAAGGTCAATCTCCACCTTTTCCAGTTAAGGCTCATTCTACATGTGCATTGCACAACATGAGCTTATCGATATCGGGGATCTGTTTCTCAAGTCTGTACGGTCGTCAGTACACACCTTTTACTTGTTTTTTACAAAGTTAATGTTGTGATAATGCTGCTGATGCCTGCTTTGGTCACAAAGTTTTATAGGCGTCTGTTTAGTTTTGTGAAAGCCTGAGTTTTCTTGTTACTCAGTTGTTTTATTGTTTCTGCCCCTCAGTGGACGCTGCTTTGAGATGCCCCATCGGTATAGAGATCAAGATCTCCAGTGTGTCCTCTAATGAACAAAAGAGAAAAAAAATTTTGAACTTACCATAAAATCGTTTTCTCTGCGTTCATTGAACGACGCAGCACCCTCCCTTCTTTGGTTCTTTTGTGCCTTATTTCTACTTGCGACTAACTGAGCCTTGGATGGGGGTGTGGCCACCAGCAGGAGCCGCCCCCAGGGCTGAGCTTTTTTTTTTTTTTTGCCCAGCATCCTACTCCTGCGGGTGGCGGTATAACCCATCGGTACAGAGATCAAAATCTCCGCCATGTCCTTCAATGAACGCAGAGAAAAGGATTTCAAGTCAAGTTTAAAAAATCCTATTATTTTAGTACTCACATTGTATAGGCATGGTCAGCATAAAGCTGGGGGTAAAAAATACATACTAGTGTATGTTTATATTATATATTGTTATGTTAAGTTTAACCTGTTTTTTAACAGTGCACTCTTAGGGTACACTTGTCTATTTATAGAATACAGATTTGTATATCACAAAAAAATGCACCTCTCCACTAATGTTTTTCCTAGATTAAAAAAGATTCAGGAGAAGAAGAAGATTATCAAAGAGAAGGCAGAGAAGGAGCGTGCAAAGTGGAATGAATCAGGAGGTTCTGAGCCATTCAATCTTCTTGCTGAAGACCGTGATGAAGACCTGTTGTTTGACTAACCAGTCATTTGTGTTCTCTCTGCCCTGGGCAATAACCCACTTGGGTTGCACATTGGCAAATATCTCATTTCCATAGTGTCCCATCATACCACCTGCATTTCTGTGTACATAGCTGTGCCCGAACATACAGCCACAACTGAAAAATGCCTATTTGAACAGTTTAAGTTATTTGTTTATTGTGACTGTTTAAAAATGAAAAAAAAAACTAAATAAATAAATGTACTTCAATTGATGACATTTGTAGATTATTACAGGTATTGGTTCTGTGTTTTCTCTTGTGGCCCAAATGCCTCTTGCAATGATTGCAACTTACTCCTTTTATCTCATTGAAAATCTCTTTATAATCCTGGGAGACACAGTATGTGACACCTGCCTTTAAGAGGTTAGGCACAGCCCCATTAAGTGGCTATATCCCTGCATATATTGACTGAGCTTAGTTTAGTCCTGAGGAGGAAGGATGTACCTCTTTAAGCTGAATATTTTTCAAACATTCAGCTTAAAGAGCTGCTGCTGGCAGTGTTGTTCTGCTTTCCCAGGTCCTGGATATTCTTCCCAGCTGCCAACATTCTTGCTCGGTATCATCCTCCACCCCCAGATTCAAGTAATCACTGCAGAGGCCACCCTGTTTTTCTTTGTCATATCAGACAGCAAGATATGGATAGTCACTTGCAGTAGCTATTCAGATAATGGCAACATTCAGCTTGGTATGACGCAGTGGCGGAGCTCCGTATCCAGCGGCCGGCGGGCCCCCAGTCTCTGCTCCGGGAGTGTCGGATGAACCGACACTCCTGGCGCAGAGACTGGGGGCC